CCCCAGGTTCACAGTCAGCCCCCCCCTAGGTTTGTGGGGGAAGCTTCACATCCCCTACGGCAGCCAGGACACCAAAATGGCTATTCCAGATGCAACCTTGAGCCAGGTGAAGGTGAGCACAGTGGAGGTGAACCCCTCCTTCCCCAGGTTCACAGTCAGCCTCACCAATGCTGAGAGGAAGGTGCTGAAGAGAGACCGGCTTGGCAGATTGCTTTGATTGACTGTGCTGTGGAGCCCCTTGAGAAGGTTGTGGTGGATTTCAACTCCTTGAACACGTACTCAGTAAATTATATAATTAAATTATATATATATATATATACACACACATCTATCTGTGTGTGTCTGTGAGAATGTGTGTGTGTGTGAGCGTGTGTGTGTATGAGGTGAGGTGCTCTATAGCAACAACTTAACAAAAAAAGAAAAAAGAAATAAAAAGAGATCTTTTGCCCACCTAGGTTTGTGGAGGAAGCTTCACACCCCCTATGGCAGCCAGGACACCAAACTGGCTATTCCAGATGCAAACCTGAGCCGGGCGAAGGTGAGCACAGTGGAGGTGACATGCCCAGCATCCCAGAACTGGAATAGAAGTGCCACACCATCTCCACTGCCTGCCCTCCAAGCCTTCCCCCACACTCTATTGGTCTAGTGGTCCTTGTCCAAAATGCAAAAGGTTCCAAGATAAGACCCAAAGCCCTAGCACAGCATGTAAGGCCTTTTCACCCTCCTGCCCCACACTGAGTTTAACCTCTCTGAGCAGAGCCCACGGTGCAGCCCCTGCCTGGCCCTTTGGCAGATGTGCACACTCTGTGTCCTCCTCCACCTACAGCAGGTCTCGAGGCTCTCTCCCTGCGACTATTCTTCACAGGACACAGTACAGTAAAGTGAAGAGACAGGACTTGGGAGCAGAAAACTCATGACCAAGCTAGGACCTTACCACCATAGCTAGGGCACATCAGCTTCTTCAGGTCTCAGTTTCTCTACCAGTAAAATGGGAAAAAGCTGCTTCACATCAAAGGAAATGCTACAAAAATGGTAAAATCCTCTCTGGCTGTAAGGTGGGTTTTTTTTGTTTGTTTTGTTTTTGTTTTTAATAGAAAGTGCATGCTTGCACTTGTGTGGGGTCACAGGGAGAGGGGTAGAGAGGACTCACCCTCTATAGGGTCTCAACAAGCCACAATCCTCTTTTCCCAGCCCTCCAGCTCTTCAGGATCCTGGGTGCCCACATGCCCAGGTACCCACATGCCTGTATTTTTCAGGCCAACCCAGGATCCGAACCATGTTTGTCATATGGCTTCCAGCACTGCAGGGCACTAGCATTAGCCCTACCTCCGTAAGAACTTCTTAAATATAAGGGGCTCTCTCCTTCTTTCTTTAATCCTACTTTTAGAGGACTGAACTTGGAACTTCAGAGGGTTTCCTCTTTTTTAGAAACACAGAGGGGACCAGCAGTTAGTGTAATGGCTATGTCGCTGGACTCCGACATAGTCGACCGCAGTTTGAGTCCCAGACCCGGTGGCTTAAACTCACGCCAGGCACGTGTGCGTGCGTGCCCAAGATCCCAAGAGGAGAATGGAGGAGAAGGGATTGTGGCGTGGCCATCCCCTCTCGGGGGGGTGGGGTGGGGTGACTTCTCGCTTTCTATCTCTCTGTCTCTCTCTGTGTCTGGTGAGTGCATGCGCCCTATAGCAAAAAAAAAAAAAAAAAAAAAAAAAAAAAAAAAAAAAAAAAAAAAAAAAAAAAAAAAAAAAAAAAAAAAAAAAAAAAAACCTCTCCAAAAAAAGAAGAAACACAGAGAATTTTGGGTTCTGAGCTCTCTGATTCACATAAGAATAAACAGAATCTTTTCAATGGAGAGGTTTGTGTGCCCCTTAAAGCTTTGAGAAGATTGTCAGAGTCTCCACGGTTCCATCAGTGAAACCCCCAAGCCCTTTAAGCTACCTGTGGACCACAGTGGCTGCAGTCGAAGGGCTAAGACCTGGCTTGACTCTAGCTCACCATGCTTTAGCAAGTTGCCCATCTCTTTTGGAAAGCAGGCTTGGTTCTGGTCCTGATTCTTCCACTTACTGGGTCTTATTTAACCACAAGCAAATGTTCTCAACTGTGGAATAAGTAAAGGGGAGCAGAATGAAGATGATGAAGAGTGCTTCCAACTAGAAAGTCTCGTTTTCTTGTCAGTGGAAAAGGAGGTTAACAAAGAAGGTATTATACCTTCCTGGATCATCCTGTCCTGTCCCCTAGTGTGAGTGGCAGGGAGGGATGAAGCTGAACAAAGCTAGTCCCTGCCCTTCCTCTAACACCCCCCGCCCCCCACAAGGGTACATAATGCACATGGTCAACTTGAGGCTGGGAGTGCAGGGATGCCTGGCTGGCACCACACTGCCTTGGCCCACCTGGAGTGCCCCATGAGCTCACGTCTGCAGTAACCTCACTACTCATAACTGGGATGGTGAGACAAACCTGGAAGCCGGGCACAGGTGAGAAGTGATGGCTATCTCCTCAAGAATGTGCTGCCCAATTAAAACTGCCTCCCAGATGGTTCCAGCGGGTGTTAGGACTACTTCCCCAGGCAGTGCTGGCCAACCTCCAGGCTGAGTCATTCCATGAGCATTTACTGAGGACCTACTATGCACCAGGCTCAAGCTGGGTGCTGGGCAGACGAGGAAGAATGCAGTCATGTTGGAGAGTATAGTCCATCTGTCCCAGACACACTTTGAGAAGATCATCAGAGAGTCTCAGCGGTTCCGCCAGTGAAGCCCCCAAGCCCATTACACTGCAAGCCTGTAACCTGCTTCTTCCCTGTTTCAAATTGTCCACAGTCCTCCGTCTTCTTCTGAGCTCCTCTTCCTCTTAACTAGTTTGGACCAGGCTGCTGCGGCCTGCTTCTGGGACAGCCTGGACAGCCCAGTGCCATGTCCATCAGTAGGATGGACACTAGGCTTATTACATCCTGTCCTTGGCAGGGTGTCCAATAGTGGCCACGAAGTGAGGTGATACCCTGGTAACTAGAGAATGGGCTCTTGGTCAAGGTCATGTTCAGGAGCATTAACTCTCAGAGGCAGGTCCCCAGGCAGAAAAGCCTCACTTGGAACATAGGCCTAGAACAGGCAAGGGGCCTTCCTGTCAAAGGGCATGTGTCCTGAAGTTGGAAAGTACAGAAACCTAAGTGTGGCCTATATGGTATGTTTAGAGCAGTCAATCCACTTTTGTTAAATCCATCCTCTTTCC